GCAGGGGTGTGCTGCAGCTGGAGACACTCACCGAAAAGCAATGCCTCGGAAACCAGAAGAACTCTCCTCTCAGACGGTGCCAAGAGATGCAATTCCTCCTCTAACAAAAACCACCAGGATGCGGGGAGAGGGCTGAGGCACGCTCACAGCCAGGCAGTGGGCTGTTGAGCAAGCACTGCCATTGCTATGAAGAAGCTGAGAATTTGTGAATGAGCATGGTGCAATGCAGTGCTGCACCCACCCAGAGCACGGCCTGGGCAGGGCTGGCAGGGCTGGGCAGTGCTGCTGCAGCCCTGGGGTGCTCAGCAGAACCGAGGGAGGTCCGGTTCTGAGCTCCCCCAGTGGGACACGTTGCTGACACCACTGCAACCAAAAGTGAGTGAAAAGACACAGAGACCTGGAATTGTCATGGGGGTTTCCTGGTTTGGTGAAGCTCCTGGGGCTTTAAACATTTGTAGGTCACTCCACAAATAATGCCTCCTATTTATTTCCATGCAAACTACAACAGATAAGAGGATCACCGTATCACTAATTGACAGAGCAAATTCTCAGCTACACAACACTATTTTTCAATGTAGTCATCACCATTAGCTGTGCGTTTTCACCAGCAATGAACAGGAGCCTTCATGCTGCACTCGGAAACATCTGCACCAGTGTCACCACTGCTGAAATGCAGCACCACAGCCTCACTGTGCCAGCACCCTCTGGTTGTTCTCCATAAACATTCAGCAATTGTCGATGAATGGTAATGGAAGCCATTTTTCTCCACATAGGGGAATTCAGTTTCCTCCCTTCGCTCCATCAGCACTTCCATGTCAGACACCACTCTGTCAGACTGCCCCTCTGCTGCCAGCTGTCACACGGCAACAAAATGTAACGGGAAGTTGGTGGGAAGGTTCAGCCCTGCTGCCACACCACCAACACCCGCCTCTGACATCACGGGCCAACATCACAAAATAGGACTATTTCCTTTAACACAATTTCTTGCAGCAGTTGCACAGTCTGTGCTCACTGCAGTTCCCACAAGCATTCCCCCAGAGGTGGAGCACCACGATGCTGATGCCCACTGGGGGCCCTGAGCTGTGTGTCACCCTGCCACCATGCCAAGGGCCGGGCTGCTGGATCTTCATCTCATCCTCAGCACATTCTTGGCACTTCATAAATAACATCAGCCTTTCCTTCACATCGTGGACCTTCTGTTTTTGTTCCTCAGTTTTACCGATGTAAATCTGCCATATTTGCATGGGGCCATGCCGTGGCGATGAATGATGCTGAATAAGGACCCACTCAGCCAATTTTCACTTGTACAAAGTTCCATTGTGTGGAGGAGGGTTAACACACAGGGCTCTGTTCAAACAAAATGAGGTAAACAGAAGTTCAGCACTTTTCCTTCCTTCCAGAATATTAAAAAAAAAAAAAAAAAAAAAAAAAAAAAGCAGCCCATTTCAGAAGGCCAAGCATGGAGGAGGGAAAGAAATTTCAATGCAAAAGCTACAGTTGCTCATCTCCCATTCGTACCAGGTGAGATGCACAGCACACATAGCAGCATGAATTGGGGAAGGCAGAGGGATGGCAGTGAGTGCAGACGTGGGGCTGCTCCGGCCGGGTGAGCTCCCTGCAGCACTGCCCTGCAGGGACACGAGGCTGTGCAGCGAGGGCTCACAGGGCTCCATGGCCTTATGTCAGCTGCCTGTACCCCTCTGCGGCTGTTCTCAGTGAATCAGTGCAATTTGCTCTGCTCCTCACCCAGCTGTGCCATTTCCCCATGTTGAGAGGAAGCTGCAGTTGCAGAGGGCTGTCAGTTCAGCACATTTCAACAGCAGGAGCTGCACGGTCAGCTGGCAGTTCTACCACAGGTGTCACACACACAGTGAGCCTCCACACACCAAGGACGGTGAGCAGCAGCAGGAGGCCCCCAGCAGACACAGCCATCACAAGTCCAGCTGTCATTCACAAAAAAGATTGCCTGAGAACTCTGGGAATTTTTCATCTTTTTAGCACAATATTTGCCCCCTGAGATTCAGATGGTTGAATCACAGATGGATCCTTTTGAGTTCCGTTACAGTCTCCGATTAAACGATTTTTCCCATATCTTCAACACAACACCAATCCTTCATCTGCCACAAGGGCAGCAAGTGGAAGGACAGGATCCCGCACAGGCTGCCCCACACACTTCGTGCACAGCCTGCAGAAAGCGCTCCTCCTGCCCCACAGCACTCCCTGCTGTGATTACACCGCAGCATGCACGCACACACGCACGCATGTACACACACGCACACACATGCACACACATGCACACACACGCACACACAAGCACAGCACCCAGAGCTGCACCAGGCCTGGCTTCAGCCCCACTGCGCGGCTCTGCTGCCCCACAGCCGGCACGGCCGCGTCCTTCGTGGCAGTCGGACAGAGGCAACACTGCACAGAAATAACGGCCGGTAACAATTTTCCCACAAGATCCATTTAAAATAATGGGCGTCCAAAAGTACTTGTAATTCAAGGGGAAAAAAGCTCTATTAGAAACTAGTTCTGTGGTACTGAACTTGGCTCACAGCAGCCCCCTGAAAACAAAAATAAAAGCCCAAGCGCTGTAGATTAGTTGGCTTTTCACCAGCCGAGGCTTGATTGAAAATCAGATGCAGATGTGAACAGAAAAAAGCAGCCGTTTCAGCTCTCCCAGCAGCCGCTCCTTGCTGGCACATCCAGCAGAGGATGGGTGCAAAGCAGGACCGCCCGGACGCCCCGCAGCCTCGTGGCAGTTGTGTGGCCATCCCAGCCCACCGGGACGAACAGCACCTTTCTGCAGCACGGAAAGGAGGGATTCAGACAAGACCAAAGGGCTCGGATGGGAAAGCTTGGTTTTCTTGCAGCTGAAGGGCACGTGAGCAGCTCAGTGCTAAGAGCGAAAGCACAAGGCAAGGAACTCACGGCCTGGTTTGTCCCCGACGGTGCCTGGAGGAGGAGCTCCTCCTGCATGGGGTCGGGGGTCTGCAGTGCCCAACCTGCAACAGCAGCTGGAGCGAAAAGCACTGCAGAGTTTGAAGGTCCTTCAATTTAAAAAAGAAATGCTGAAGAAAGAGAGCGTGATGATACGAGATGTTTTGTGCAGTGCTGGCGGAGGAGAATTGATGATGTGATGAGTCAGTTCCCCCTCCAGCAGCAACAATCCTCAGCGTGCGCCTTCCAGACCAGCCGCTGCCTGAGGTCCACAGCTCACATCAGCAACACGTTCCTGGGACAAGGAGCTGTCTGCTCTCAAACTCAACTGCTCTCTGGGGGAAAAGTACCTCTTCTTTTTTCTGTATCACCACTACAAGTTCCTTCAGGGGCAGACAGGCTGCTCGGGTGGCTGGCTGAGTTTGAGGCAGGAGAGAACATTTTGTATCAAAATAAATTGTATGTGAATGATTCTATTTATTGTGCACATCTCAGACTATTCTATTGCCATACCCAGAAATACTGGGAGAATTTAACATGAAGCACTGAAAAACATATCCATTTCCACACGTGACTTTACCAGGTTTGTTGTTTTTTCCCCAGTTTGTGCTCCCAGACACCCATCCCATGCCCACGGTGCTTGCTGTGCTTATCACACAAACCACACGTCGTCTCCTGGCCAACACTGCACCGAATGAGGTTTGACTCAGACCTGCTCACCACCAACAGCACAACATCTCCTCTCAGGTTCCTACAGAAGCAGAGCCAGAAGGTCTCTCTCTCCCTTAATTAGCTCTCTCTGGGGAGTGGGAACTTGGAACATCTCTGCAATACTGACTGGCAGTGTGGCTTTAAAAAAAATACATATATTTTTATATATATGCATATATATTTGCAATAATGGCCAGCCCCAGAAGCATTGGTCTTCTACAGCAAAAAAATCTGAGAACAGAAATACCATTAAAGTGGGGAGAGTGGGATAAAGATCCTTGCATTAGAAAACCATTTGCTCACAGCCATGGATAAAATATCAGCTCTAGCTCATGACTCATCTCTGAACCTATGACTATTTAAATGCCAAAGTACTTTGAGTTGCGTGTAGTCATGGAAAATAGCAACAGGTAATGCAATTCACACCCTCAGTATGTAACATTTCACTGAAGAGGTCTCCCCACTGAGCCAGCCACCCTCACTCCTCTCTCCTTTTTCTTTTTTCTCCATCACCTTGGATTCCTACCTCCATTTTTCTCCCAGGAGCCATTCCCAAAAAGCATTGACAGCACTGCAGAACCCCCTTGAAAGAAACGTGGAAGTAGTCTCTGGATGTTTACAAGAGCAGCTTTCATACATTTTACACAATAAAATATTGCATTTTTCTGGTGATAATAGCTTTGAAGATATCTCCATCTTATCCATCACTTTTATCAGCCTCAGCTAAAGACAGACAAAGTTAACACTACTCAATGGCCTGTAACTCTGCTTTTGACTCTGGTGTCTCCTGGAACACCTGCATGTGACAGAACAATCCTACCTTGAACCTTCCTTCTCAGCCCACAGCAGATGAATGATAAATGAACTGTAGTACTCCAAATAACTGATTACTGTGGCTCCTCCCACGTCTCTTGGATACGAGCTTCATTTCATCCCCAGACCCGCAGTGAAAGACCCGTGTGCCCCCACCCCTTGTGGGGCTGCAGAGCCCACACTGCCCTGGTGCTGCTGTGCTGGGTGACAGCTCTGCCAGCAGCTGCTGCCATGGGCGTGAGGACGCACCTCTCCCTGCAGGGCTGTAGAAACGTGGAGGCTGCAGTGGAGATGGAGCCAGCTGAGCACTAAGTGTTCCTGCAGGAGTGCTGGTGCAGCGCGGTGGGACCAGACATCGCTCTCCACACCCTTCCACTCTGTTTTGCTTGCAGACTTTGGGCACTGCAGGCAGAAATTCAGCGCACAGTGATCCACACCAGGAACATGAGCAAGGAGGCATGCTGGCTTTGCTCTTTTAACAAAAAAAACTGCTCTGACATTACTCAATAAGCACAGTCTTGCTACAGAGAGCACTTACTACGCCACTTCAGATATTTACAAGCCTGCAACCCTCAGAAGAGAAAAGGAGAGGGTTCAGTTTGCAGCTCGGGATCTGTGAGTGCCCATTTCTGCTGGGCAGAGCTGCGGGGCCGGGGGAGAGCATGGTGAGAAGCGGGTGTTTGCTGTTCGCAGGCAGAAGTGGCTCACACTGGCTGCAATTCAAAGCAAAATGTGTCATAATGAAAACAGAAAGAACGGGGCTTTTCCCTCCCACCTATTAACTCCGCAGTGCACAGCTGCTTCTCCAGTTTACACTTGCATTCACTGTAAATGTGAGATCTAATGCATCACCACTAAGCCCCCAAAACACTGGCATTATGGGAATTGCCACCTGGGGATCTGGACATCCTACATGAATGTTATGTCACCTGCACCAACACATCACTGGCATTCAAGCTCCATCATCCATCTCAAAGAGCAAACTGATGTATCATAAGGCAGCCTACTAACAATGCTCATTAGCACAAACTAATTAAAGCTGGCAGTCCTGGCCCACAGTCCTTTTACTCCCATCTGGTATCTATGCCTAATCTGGATCTTTTCTTCCCATCCTGACCCTGGCATATCAGAGATTTTTTCCAGCCCTGGAAGTAACCACCATTCCATGAAAATTGCATTTTCTGGTTTATTTTTTCCATTCTACTTGCTCTGTTTGTGCAGGGGGTGCATTCAGACCACCGCAGCTGACATGCCCCGAGCACACCCTGTCCTGCAGGGCAGCCTCTCTCCTGCCCATCCCTGACACCACAGCTCAAGAAAGTGCAGGCACTTCTCACAGCCTCTCAGATACCCAAGGGTTTACCTTCACAAAAAGGACAGTCCAGATGTCTGGTCCTCTAGAGAAAAGTGCTGTGTGCAGGAGATGAGCCCCATGACGTACAGTCTCCGTCCACTTGGCTGGTGTTGGCCTGGTGGTAATTTGTGTCCAGAGAGTGGTTTGATCCAAGCTCAGGATTCACACTGGGAAACTGAACTCCTACATGCACAGCGCTGCTTTTGTCTAGTGCACGCAGATTATGCTGAGAAGAGCCTGGGTCTCCATAAAGACACCCATTTTGCTCAAAATATTCCCTCGAGACAAAGCGAGAGCTGGCCTCAAGCCTGCAGCAAGCTGCTTGTCTGCAAGTCTGGACTTGGAAATGGACTCAAACATATGGCCCATTCACTGCGTGAGCCTACCCAAAAGCTGGGTGATCTGGCTCTTCTGTGCTTGGTGCCTGCTGACCCTGAAATGTAAAGATTAATCATGATTTCAACGGCAATAATCTCAGCAGAACCTTCCAGCTGCTCTGGACTGGATTGTCAGCCTTCCTCTTCTGCCAGAATGGACATCAGTTCTTGTGCTAAACCCAATGCCTTTCATTTCCTTTGCTATGGAGTTCTGTCCTGCACTAGGACAGCCCCAACCAGGAACTACTTGCCATCCCAACAGGCATGGCCGGGCCTCAACCCAGGAAGATCCATCTCTATGTCTGCACTATCCACCAGCTGTAACCTGCTTGACTTCAGGCACTGAGTGCCTCTCAAACACTCAGACTCCACCATTATTGCACAGGTGTCAGAGTATGGAGGTATCTGTGACACACATCTGTGTTCACAATGAGGGACCACACGAGGGACTTAGGCCCAGATGAGCGCAGTGTCGGCGTGCAGCCTTACCAGCCATGAGCTGCCATGTTACATCCCACTCTTCTCGAGCAGGGCGACCTACCAGCACTGCTCGCTTCCTCCATCCCTATGGGAATGCATGGCATCTGTAGCACATTACCATCTTTTCAAAGAAATGTTGTCTACATCAAGTAGAAGTATTTAATTAGCACTTCATTCCAAGCATGTGGTACAGATCACAGATCCATTTGGGGCCTGAGATGATTTATCAAGGGTGGGTGGAAAACAGCCGAAAATGTCAGAAGGCCCATGTCGTCTGCAGCAGCCCCTCATTTCTGTCCTCACATCATTGTTAACTTAGCAGGGAAGCAGCCATGGGTTGTAGCACCACTGAAGTGAAAACAGCCCCCAAATGCAAATACCAAGCTGCCATAGGAGCAGTGTTTGCTGGTGCCACATCTCACCTCCACGCTGCTCTGCAGCTGCAGGTCCCTAACAGGGCCGTCCGGGTGCAGCACGTCTCCTTCCCCATCTCCATGCCCAGACACGTGGACAGGCAGTCTGCACAAGCCCAGCCTCACCCAGGGGAAGCCCTGATGATTCAGACACCCCTCTGAGTCACGCTCCCTCCCCAGAGAGGCTTCATTGCTGCTGGCCGGAGCGGTAACGCTGTCAGCCCTGCGCCTGGGGGGAGCTGGGTGGTGACACCACGTCCAGCTCCGCGCCTCTGCTCCCTGCTGCACATTTCTCACTCCCCTTGGAGATAAAGAGCCTCACGCACAGCCTCATTCTAAGTAAATAAGCACAAAACAGTATTGTCTAATGGAACTTGTCCATAATTTTATCAGTTTCTTTGAGGACTGAGAGATTCAAGTGTCCGTATTGGCCTAAATATTCCTTCTCGGGTGGAGAGCCAAAGCCTCAACTGTGAGGCTTCTTGCCAAGATCAAGAGCAAGTCAAAGGACATTTACAAACAGATGAGAGCAGTGATTGCACTGGAGCTGTTGGAGTGACCCGGCCGTATATTTTGCTCTTCTCGGGATGAAATCTGGATCTGATTGGCCTCAGATTTTTGCCTTTGCTCCTTCCTGATGCCTAAAATAAAAATGAGTAAATAATTTGGTACACATAAAGAATATACTGTAATTACTATTGGGACAAATCTCTGTCAGACATTATGGCAAAAGGACAAGACCAAGTAGCTGTGATTTTTGTGCATTTCATACACACATGCACATATCTGTCTATTCCTACATAGATACAGATATGTCTATTTGTATCTATTTATACGTATCTAATGAAAACCTCTTTCTTGGCTGAGTGCATGCAACTGCTATTAAAGCCAGTGTGACTGTGGTGAATGTGCATGTACAGTCATTGACCATCTCTTGCCAATTTTATGTGCCAATAGTTTTCTGTAAGATAGAAGTGTTCTGTGCCTTGCTTTGGCACAAGCTGTCATTGCTGCAGGTGACACCGGTAATCCGCACCCACTGCAGTCCGTGGCACTGTGATCCCACTGCCACCACGATAACACGGCGCTGGGTGAGCCGGACTGCTGTCACTGTGATGATGGGACATTCACAGAAAATTTAAATGTTAATACGAGTTGGAAGGCAGCACACATCTCTGGAACTGCAGATTTCTGATTTCCAAACTACAGCGAACAGAATGCTAAGGCTGCTGCAAAATCTTCAGTTCAGGCCATAAAGCAACCTTCCGAGACCCGTATTTTATAGTCCGGTCTGCACTGCCAAGCAGCCTATAACTGCCTCCATTCTGCATATGTATATCTTGCACTTCTGAAACCCCAGGGCTGCATTTGTAAAGCAGACACTCTACAGCTTTCCTTTTTGTGTGCGCTGTTGCTTGTCTATACGTAGCTGCACAGACTTTTTCCTTGGCAGGGAGTTCCAGGCACGCTATTATTACGGGCACAAACTTGGATTTCCTTTGACAATATGGTTCATAATGTTTCACGAGGTAGAACTTCTAATGCTGTATCTAACACTGGGAAGCTTTGTTCTCTGCAGTGGTATTTGAGCTCATGCCTGTTTGAAGGCTGTCGTATTAAGGAGCTGCTCTGTGTCTCATGTGGGATTGTATATCTCATAGCAGTGTGTAATTTAGTGACTCCACTCCAGCAAATTACAAAGTTCAAGTCAGACTTTGGTCAGACACGGAGCAGTGAACAACGTGTGCCACCAGCACAGCTCTCCTGGGGTCTCTTAGCAGATTAAAATGTTGGCTCCAGTTTGCCAGAATGTAAATGCAAAAGTTTCTTGTCCCGAGATTTGAAATTACTGTGACAGTGTGTCTGCTTGCAGTAAACACGGCTGGAAAAGGCTACATTTGCTTTCAGAATAACATAATTCAAATCATTCACACATGCTCCTGGGAAAAGCATGGCTGTCCAGCCCCAGCCCGCTCTCACAGGAGTCCATATCCAAGCATGAACGCAAGCAGCTGCAGGAGCAGCACATCAGCACTGAGCATCTCTGGAGGCACTTCCCTGCCACGAAGGGGATTGCTGTGTTGGGAAGGAGCAGCACACAGAGTCACCTTCCTGGGGTGAAGAAAGTGCATATAAGGGCAAGAGATCTCCTGGGGAGGAAACCTTGGTTTACATTCTCTGAAGATACAGAGAGAGGGCATAACGAGGAGAGGGGAAAGACAGCTTAAGCCACTTTTCTGCTGGCTTTCCTTCTCCTCTCCACATATCCCCTGGAAGATTTCCTGATGGCACAAACTACTTCATGTGTATCTTGTTTATTTTTGGCCTGCATAGCTTCCTTTCGAGTCAGCCCAGCCCCTGTTGGGAACACGCAATAAATCTGGCTTCATCCGAAACTCTCTTTTGGAATAGGCAGGGGTGTCCCTGTCAGCATGTCAGATTAGGAACGCTCTGCTTGGTTCAATGGAGCTGGCTTTTGGTTTAATCCAAAGGCCTACGTTAACTTCCATTGTCATTTATTCTCCAAAAACTGTGGTCTTCAGAATTGCAGGTTTTTTACTCTTTTTTTTTTAAGGTACTGATTTTCTTGCTAAAGTGAATTCCTTTGTTATTTGTTTTGATAGTAAATCAAGCCAGTTGTATCCACTAGGGATCAAATTAAAAACTGCAACAAAGAATGGGGGAAAAGTAATGAAGAAAATTTTAAGGGATGATACCTGAAAATCATCACAGTACAGAGAAGAATCAGAGTTATTATTCTAACACAGACTTCTGGGTGCTACTGAAGCCAATTTAGACACGTGCTTTAACATCCACTTCTGAAAAGTCACTCCAATTATCACTACCTTGCAGAAGACCACACTCACTACATTTATAAGGGAGGTCTTTCCCACTATAGGAAGCCTGTAGGGTTCTCTGAAGCATCATTTGCTGGCAGCTGAAACTTTGAACTACTGAATCAATCAGAAAGCTGCCTTTGATTTTTCTTTTTGAGAGAACGGACAATGATGAGGGCTGTGTGCTGGGCTGGCACTCAGGTCTGCATTCAGCTGCTGTTTTTGGCATATCTGGCACCCACACATCCAATGTGTGACTTCAGTGAGGAACAGCCTTCCATCCCCCCGCTCATGGCAGAAGGATACCCCTCCCCCATGCTCCCACTTTGTCTGTGTGATCCAGAATTCACCCGATCAGACAGGACCTTTCGCAGACACAACCTGCCAAGTGGCACCTGCACAGCTCAGGGCTTTGTGCCAACACAGTTTGCCCAATAGATCATCTTTTTCTTTGCTCAGCGTTTTTGGAGGAGGCATCTTGCTCCGTTTTGAAGCTGCACAAACCAATCTTTGTCATGCAGAGGGCTCGCTCCCAAGCTGTGTCTCACTGGAGGGGCAGGGTTCTCATGGGGATGCTGCTGCAGCTCTTCCCGCACAACAAAGCCAGGCTGCTGTAGTGTGAGGAGATTGTTTTGGTGAGAGGAATTGGACCAATGGATAAAGCCAATAACATGTAACACTTTCTTACACTTATCCAGAACCACAGCCATGTCTGCAATGGAGAGAGTGAACCACAGGGTAAAGGGATGGGTGGTGGTTTTCCTTTTCGGGTCGCAGACAGATCATTTCCATGGCTGTCAATCCACACATCTCTTCCCAGACATAACCTTACTCCTCTCCGTGTGACCCAGAGCACTGCTGCATCCTTCAGACCTGCTTATGTTCCTTTAAAGCTCCCAGGTCCCTCTCTTTAATTCTATTTCTTTTCAGCCCAAGGCATTTGAAATTTATAAATGCTGAGTTCTAGGATGCCTGCTCTGATTTTCATTCATAAAATATATGCTCGTAGCTCCCAGGGTGCAGATTCTGCACTGCCCAGCCGGTGAGCTGCCAGGCAGAAGTGTTTGTTTTCTCTTTGTATATACAGAAGCAGTTCCTGGCAATCAAGCACAGCTCAAAGGAACTTGAAGGCATCATGCCATAGAGACCTGTAGATCCTGGCTGACCACAGGGACACTGGTTGCTGCTGGAGCACATAGAGCATATCCCCAGCTGATATTCTCATCTGGTACAAGAGCTGATGCTGGGAATTTTCCTGTTCTTTCTCTAAATCACAAAGCAATTCCATCTGCATTCCACTCCCAGCTCTTTTGGGAGAGGGAAATGCAGCTCTGCTCATCACAGGGCACATGGCTTTGTGCCACGGGATAGGAATTCAAAGGGCATGGCTCTACTACCCTAATCAAACTGTTAGGCTGAATGTACCATTTATTAATATTATGAGAGATATGGCGAGTTATAAAAACAGAAGTCCTCCTCAACAGAGAAATCTGCTTTAGAAATCAAAAAGGAGTTGTTTGTGTTTGGGTTTTCATTACAGGAAAGAAGACTTCCAATTTTAGTTCCTTTATAACATTAAAATAGCAGCAGGGTTCAATCTAAAATCTTAATCCTTTCTATTTGTGTTAAAAAGTCCTGATTTCAGGGTGCCTTTGTCCCGAGCTGCATTTTCCTCCATTTCCCTTTGGCAGCTGGCCAGGACCACAGCCCTGAATTCCAAACCTTTACTGTTTTCTTCTGGGTTCCATTGAAATCCCTGTATCAGATTATTTCCTGTAATTTTAGCCTCCCTGCAGTAGATAAAACAGATTTAAATAAAAGTTGGATTATTTAACATATTTGTATGTTTCTTTCTAAAAATAAGCAAATTTTAAAAGTAAATCTGAGAGAAAAAAATTAGATTGAAATAAAAATTTAATATAAGCTACTTTAAATTTTTTATACACGTGCACTTTTCCTATACATCTCTTTGCCTCTGCTATTGCAAAGGGAGTCAAGCAGTTATTCTCCAGCAGACTGGGCATTTGAATAAGGAAACTCCACGTGGAGCAATATTCACACAGAGGACTGAAAACCCACTGCATGTGAGCATCAGCACTGCTGCGTTCAGTGAGGTTATTCAATACTGAGAAGCCATCTAGGGGATGAAGTAGCAAAGGAGTTCGATTTCTTCAGCTTACGCATAGCAATGGATGCGAGAGCTGAGCCCTGCTGGCTCAGAGGCACTGGCTGCACACTGATGGGAAGCAATTGGTTCTGTGCTCTGACAGCTTCCCTCTGTCCCGCGTGCATCCAGTTTGACTGAAACATGTGTGGCTGCACGTTTCCTCCTGAGGGCTCCCAAGTATTGGTAGGCAGCTTTTAACTAATTATTTTAAACTGCTGCGTTTGACATTTTTCAAATTAAATTCTGGCTTTTATTCAAAAGCAGTTTCACACCAATTGGAAACTAAACGAGCCATCCTGTCAGCTGTATCTGCTGGGCTGGTTTTCTTTGCCTGGATAGAAGCTACTGGTTACAAAACACCCAAACATTTGCCCCCCTTTCCTCAGGGAGAAGACAGAGCAAGCAAACTGCATCCAGGATTTCAAAATTAACACTATGAAAGCATTTACGAAGCACAAAAGCCTTAACTCAGTTGTTTGGAGCTAATGCCGCTGGTGGATCGGTTCAGGATCACGACTTTTATTTATCACTCACATAACCTAAATCCGTCGGACCCGAAGTGCCCTCTGCCCCAGGCACACAAAGCAGCGGGGCAAAGCGCCGCGGATGGAGCGGGGACACCGAGCCCGAGGATGTA